ATTAATTCGATTTATTTAATTAATTCATATTTTAAAGAGAAAATAGCTTGGTCAAATAGACCCCAGAGGTGCCTCTCACATATATATATATATACACACCTGGATGTCTGGAAAGGAAGGAATGCTATTGGGATATTAGCCACCATAATGGAGAGTCAAATGGACAAGAACATGGAAAATCAAATGGAAACTGTGATGACCTCATCTTCCAAAGTCACAAGGTCTTGGGTTGTGGTAGTTTGCCAAAATAGGGGGACCCCAATATAGACACCACAATACCATAGTCCTTACTTTTGGGACCCCCAAAACGGTACCCCTAATTTTGGAAACCGCCTTGTGTGGACTCCAAACCCGTGGGAGTGCGCCCCGCCAGCTGGTCTTCACAGCAATCACTTAAGGTCTGCCAGGCCACGTTTCTCAAATCCCGACCCAACTATGCCAAATCCCTACCCAGAGCCTATCCCACAGAAAAAACCGAAATCCCTATCAAATCCCGAAAGCCTATCCCGAAAAAACAATCCAAAAACAAGCAACACTTCAACACTTGCAATCGCCACTTAACGTTGGCGAAACTTTTTGCTGAAAATTTTCACCTTTAGACTCCTACCGTTTACTACTGACATCAGTTCTTTCTGGGCACACATGTGCGTCATTCCTAAGACAGAGGGCATGCTGCTGCCGCATGAGGCAGCTTGATATAGTAAGGCGAATGGGCTCACGCCTGGCTGGCTTCGCTCGGGAATGGCGGCAGGCTGACGGTAGACTCATCGCCCTGTGCCATCCAGACTGCTGCTAATTTCTTGATGTCAGTTCGAAAGCTTGAAAGAACACTTGAAGTTTGAAGGACTCTTTGGCGCTGATTGCCTTTTGACTTACAGCCTCAGTCGGGGAACTGGGAGCAACAAGCCCAGAGAAATCGCCCTCAAAGAACAAAGTCTTGACCTCTATCTCCCGCATTCTGCTGGCACATGCCCGTGCCTCAGGCGGAACTTGACATGTATGCACGAGCTGCATGAGCAGGATAAGCGTCTTCTTTGCAGCATCCCTTGAAGATGGAGCCTCCCCCCTTGCCAGTGCTGCGGCTGTGGCGGCGCTTGCCGGAGATAAGGCAAAGTCCACGAGCAGCCGGCGAAGCCTGGGAAGAATACTTACAGTTGAGACAAAGCCCATGTTGCAGTTTCTCCAACCTCATGTGGATCTGTTTCCGAGCTTCTTTGACGCGAATGTGTTTGGAGACATAACATCGACCCCTTTGCTGAAACATAGCAGGCCAGCAAGGCAACACAAAGATATAGAGGTCTCTTTTCATTAGGAGCCTCTTTCTGAGGATGCCCAGAATAAGGATTGTAGTGTTTGAGGATCTATAGAACTTGGTTCCCCTTATTCATGGAAACTACCAGAAGCTCTTCCAGTCGTGGCCAAGCAGCTCGACCTTATCGAGGCTCCGAAACGGGCAGCCGTGAGCCTGCTTGACCTGACACTACTGTCACATGGCAGTTGTTCAAAATGCCTCCTCCCCAAAAGCCCACAAGATAGTTCCCTTTTGGGCTAGGATGTATTCCGAATGGTCCCTTCTGTACAAGGACCGTCAGAACTACCCGCACATCGAGGATGGCCAGTTCCCTGAAGCAGGTTCAAGCTTGAACACAAAGACAGCCACTCTGGAGTCAGCCTGCCTGTCACTTCATACATCCACTACGCGATGCAACAAGACGGTTGTAAAGAAATTATCTGCTCGCAAACCACGACTGAAGAAGAAACCTCGTCTAATGCAGCAGAAGAAGCGCCCGGGGATGGAAAGACTTGGGGGTCCAGCGCCTCTCGAAACACTTCAGGAAGTTCCACAGGCATGTCAGCACAAGTTTTCCAGGAGATGCTGTACCTTCATCCAACCGCCGAGTGTTAAGCACCATTCAACCAGGTTTGTGCCCCTCATTGCCTTTCGGCAGCTCCACCCAAATGCTGGCTTGCGCTTACCTGAGCAGAAGGCGTGGGCATGCTGTTGCAGAATGCTTTGCTTTGCACATGTTCTAGCGCGGTCCATGAAAAGAATTACTCGCCTCCTTCACGCATTCCGCTCTATTGGCCCTCACGAAGCCTCGTGAATCTTCCAAGCTATCATCCAGGCAGCCAAACGCATAGCTTGACTCAAGCAGGGCAAAGAACAAAATGGTAGTCTGGATGGCCGTCTCAACATGTGGAGAGAAGCAGATGCAAGAGCGCTGGTTTTCAAGCTTGTTCGCCATCTCTGCCGAGCAACCCAGTTGCCCATACGCATGCCTGGGCTGTCTCAACTTCGAAACAATAGGCCCTGCTGAACAATGCCTCGCTTGCTACTCGATGATGCATGCATGGATGGTGCTGGGTTTTGCCTTCTGGAAGAATGGGCATTCACCAGCATGGAGAAATGTGTAGCTTGCATGCCCAGATGCTGGATGTGATAGGTGTGCTCTGAGCTGAAGTCTTCCTCAAACGGCTTTGGCTACCTTTGAGTGCTGGATGAAAATCATTGGACCTTCTTTTCGTCCTCCTGTTCTGCTCATACTGAAAGCCTACAAAGGCTCCAAAGCAGCGTAATCTGCAGGAATGATGGAGAAAACCCGCGGCATAGTCTGGCCTCTTTCACACTTGCATCGCGCAAGAACTCGCGGCGCCACCAACGAAGCGCCTCCGGCAAAGGCAACCTCAATACAGCCGTGGATTCGACTGCTGCTCTCACAGCATTCGGCTGCTGCTAGCTGTCGCCCAGCAATCCTTCTCTCTTGCTTCCCGAGGATCCCAGCTTCCCTCAGCAAGGGTCTCAGCTGCATCCGCCCATGGTGCCTAGGTCACTGAATTATACTCGTTCACAAGCTTGGAGAATCTGAAGGTTCTGAGCCTTGGCCAGGTGGGGCAGTCCTGGTCAATGACTTGAAGCCCGGGCGCTTGAGGTGATTCCCCTGGCGCTGGAAGTCGACCAGGTACTGCATACCTGGACGAGACATGCCATGAAAGGACCCTGAGCATCACCTAACACCAGCTCCAAACCTATCACAAGTCTTCGGTGTAGAGGGTAGAGCGCGCAGCGACTGGAACATGGGTGCTATTCTTTCCTCTTTGTCTCTACGTCCACCTGGCTTGCAAGACAATGTTCAGAAGCAACATCTGTGGAATGTCCCAGCAGCAGGGTGGGAAGGACTCCCGCAATAGCTCCTCAAAGTTTGCCAAGCAAAGTCCAACGGGTTCGTCTGCCGACCTGATAAGTCACTGTCATCTCTGTGAGCCATGTGTGCCCATCTCAGAGGAAGTCAAAAGGGAGTTACGCGTGCGATGATGCGCTTCTTTGATTCCCATTTTCACGCGCAGTTATCTGAAGGCTGTTGGAAGTGCAAGGCGTCTGCACTCTATTCTGAACCGCAGGTCTGACTCAATGAGTAACTGCCGCATCGTCTAGACGCAGAGAGGAGGAAGATTTCAGTTGATACCTCTGATGACCGCCCTTAGTTAGATTGGGGATGCCTCAGGCTACACAAGGAAGGCCATTCAACAGCCGACAATCCGTGCTTCTCCAAACGGCCGGGCCGCATCGAGGAATTTGTATCCACCAAGATCTTCTCTAGAACTGGCCTCATGCCATGAAGCAGTCTTGACTTGCCCGTTTGGGGCACTGAGATGGACAGTGTAGTGTGCAACAAGGCATGATACAACCAATGGGGTCCATTATGGTCTACCATGGGACACCGCTTTTCTGCAGCAAACAGGAATTGAAAGGGCATTTATTAGCACAATCACTACAAAGCAAAGAAAACCAACGGCTCAAACCAACTCCGGCGGCCCATTGCCTGTGCTGTTCATGTCTCTACTGACTGCTGAAGTCATCCCAAATTTACGGGGGAGTTTATAGGAAATGAATTATACAGGGATTATATTCCCTCCGCCATTCCCTTACCACCTTTAAGCAAAGGTGGAGTGGCATACTGACCCTACTGATGTATGCTGACGAAGCATCTTCAATGCAAAAACCTCAGTTGCGCACCACGGATCATGCAGGAGCGACTTGAAACGCTAGCAAGAGCTCACAGAAGCGCTGCAAACAGCTACCACTTGCTGGTTCTTAGTAGGGAATACAGGAACATGTTACATAAGGATTCTATTCCTTTCTTCCCTACCCAGAACCAGTAAGTCCACAAATCCTGTGTTTACGGTTTGCCGACATCTCCTTTCGTGGCAAGCGCGCCATGAACCGGGTCTGATGCCGTTTGTGCCAAGAAGGAACTCAGAGCGCAAGCGTGTCCAAGTCGTGAGACCGCTAGAATAAACCCACAAGCTGTGCAGATTAGTGACGGGCAAAAGGCTCGAAGACATGCGCTGTTGCCAAGGTACTGTTCCTCGCAGCGACGGATGAAGATTGGTAAGGCTGCAGGCCTGGGTTATGCGTTGGCAGATAAGGCTATCCAACGGTTGCCATGGAGGTACGGAGCTGAGAATCCTGCACTCTGAAACTGTTGGTCCACGGTGGTCTGTTCCAAACAGATTCTGTCTGAGGTCCCGGCAGCTGCCTGTTGAAGCATGGCTTCCAGATGTTGGCGGAAGCGGTGCGCAACTACCGACACGAAGTCCTTCAGACTATGGGCTGCTCATTGCAATCAAGACTTTGTCTACTAAGTTCGGTTTTTGAGGATGTGTTGCCTTTGCATCCACAGTCGCATGGCCACGGTGAAGTCGACAACGTCGCCTTGATCCCCAAGGCATCGGTTACCGGTTCTAGCTCTCCCCATGCCTGCTGCATAATCAAGGTGCTGAGCCAGCAAGGCTGGGGGGAGCTCGGTGAAGTGCATCGTCACCGTGCCTGCAAGGCTCGCCAGGCGAGGGTACATGCTGGGCTCTGTCAGCCAGCCCAGTGATTGGCTCAGGCCGCAAGTAGTAAAGGAGACGCCAAAGGAACAGTTCTTGGATGCCTTGATCTACGTCAGGCTCCAGGCCCACACGCCGCAGAGCACCAAGACGCGATTGCATAGGCGCCTGCCACGGTGATACAACAATCCCAGAAGGCAAGCTGTGGCTAACTTCTCTCCAATAGCTGACCTTGCCTCTTCCCAGCGGTGCCGAAAAAGCGCTTCCTGCAAGCCACCAATGCAAACTCCTAATTAATAGGTTGCAAAAGATTGCTGTGAACATCAGGACTTTCCTCTACAGTTGTGCCCCAATTGCAATCCTGACAAGTATGCTCTCGACCGTCGCTCCGCCGCACGGAAGTTTGTTGAGTAAGTTCAATGTGCAGAGCTGCAGCAGCTTCTGAAATGTCAGCTGCCCAGTGTCTTAAGTCTTGGATGCGAGTTTGTTGCGCTCTGTTGCTTCTAGAGCCTAGAGCAGATTTGTGGCAGCAGATTGTGTCGCTGCTTGTTAGGAGCCTACAGGACAGTGAGGTGCTGGCCACAGTCTTCCTCGGCAGACAAGCACCAGGATCGGCCGGCTGCATCGCCGCAGCAGAGTAACCGTAGCAGGAAGTGAGACACCGCATCGTGCTCGCAGCGCTCAGCGTCTGACCTTGACACATCTACATGTCCATTCCGGCGACACCATAACGGGATCGCCCTAGCATCACTGCTCTCGCGAGACGCTTGCAGCATGTGCTTGCAATCCGAACTTGCGCACAGGGGCATCCCATCTCTGCATAACTCAAACAGACCGCCCCAATTGTTGCCGACAAGCTGCAAGTCTTCGTGCACCACAGCTGCAGCAGTCTCCTGATATCTGTTTCCGTGTGTTACGGGAGGCAGGCTTGCAATGTTTTGCTCAGCCGAATTCACACTCGGCCGCCCTTGGTGTCCTTGGAAAGACCACTGCTAGTAGCGACATGTTGCTTCTGGGCAGACGCGAGTCGAGCCAGCCGTGCCCGACCTAGGACCTGCTGAGGTTGGCAGGAGTGAACTCGACTTCAAACTCCATTTGTTTGTCCTGCCTCCAGCTGCAGTGCCTCAATAACCGCTTGGGGCGGTAATTGGTACCTCAGGCTCGAATGGACGATGTCACACTCCGCCAATCTCTGGGTGCGTGCCGGATGGTCAGAAGAAGTAGAAACTCTCTGCCCCCCTATAAAGTGTTTTGGTTAGGTCTTCTGGGAGAACCTGTAAAGCTAGCCTGCCATCTCGGGATTTTGAAGTCTGGGGCCTGCGTTGGTTGGAAGCTAGGCTCCTCGACTTCAACTTCCGTCGACAAACCCCAAGCCTTCACGCCGCACACGTATCATATCTCATAATTGTCTGCAATCTGTAAGCGTGTCCGTCAGATTGGCTAACTAGCTCAGACAAGTGGCAACGGCAAGTAGCGCGATGCCGCCTCCAAGGAGAGAGAGGCTTCAGTACCATACTTGCTACAACGCTGGTGCATCATCAAAGGCACCGCACAGCCCCGCGCTCCAAGTGAACATGGCAATAAGATGTTGAGAATCAGTAGCTTGATGTAAGTGTTGGCTACGTTTCTATGTTCACTGTCCCAGGTTTGAGCTGGCTGTTACGTTGCCTGAAGCCAATTCACGGTCAACCGCGATGCCTGAAACTATCCACTGCAGCACGTGCCGCCTCATCATTCTCAAAGCGCTCTTCCAGCTGCAGCTGCATCGTTTACGCAAGCGGCATCCCACTTTCACGTCGCTTTTAGGAATTGGGCCATTTTAGTGCTCGGCTATGTGACCTTGTGACTCCGGCAGGCAGCATGAGATTTTGTCTCACGGATACCATAGGCGCTGGAATCTTCATATCAAAGCCGTAATGGCTACATGACCGGATGAAAAGCCTTGACCAAGTGCGCTGAACAGGTTGGCCTGCACAAGCACAAAGCTGATGTCACAAACAAGCTCCGGTCACGGTACCGATTCACAATGCCCCTAGGCTGAAGTGCAAGCACGCTGTCAGGGATGCACAGTCGGGATTGCTTCGGAAGCATGCGTGCCATGCGTGCCCCCAGGAAGCCATCACCTGTACGGGCTTCTTGAAAGCTTTGGGCACATGCAGGCACGCCTGCTCTATGCCAAGCTGATCCACAGCGGCAGTGAGTGTGCTCAGTCTATGAAGATCCACTGTGCCTGGGGTCACAGAACCCAACAACTCACACCCGCTGGCGATAATGATGCACTCCAGCTGGCACCTGAGGACGCTGGTTTTCAGGCTTCGGAGGTGCTGCAGGACCGCATTCCAGAGTCTTGAGATCACCAATCGGTTCGCTAAGGTAGGTCGCAGGCTTCGCACCATGAGAACTTACTGTACCAAAACTCGCACATGAACACTCCATTGCGCACAAAAACTCCATGCTGCCAGGTGACATGCTAGTGCCGGTGAAGAATCCAATGGCGGCCCAACTGATCACCGTCACCTTTCGAGCATACCCCGGAACTCCACTACAATTCAAAGTTGCAATTAAGCCCAAGCAACCCAGTCTTCGTCTGCGGCAAACGCTGTGATTTAGTCTGTCTTAAGCAGTAGATGTACAATGACGGGAAGGACGTGCGCCAAATCAAGCTGACCTGCTCCATGCTCGTGAGTCATTGGGGTGACAGCGACAACGCTGCCAATGCACAGCTCAGACCTGAGGAGTGGTCGCTGGAGACGTGCTGAAGAAGACAGGAGGCTTCGTGCCTGACGGTCTGAAACGCCAGGAACCAAAGAAATTGCAGTTGAGTTCTGCAGGCCATGAAAGCGCAGTGACAGACCAAACCGTGCTTTCGAAGTTCAAGGCCGAAGCAAACTCTAGTAACACCTTAAACTGCCCCAAATGAGATCAGGCTAGCAGACTGCAGTAAAGGATAACTGGAAACCCCAATATCACACAATTTCTCTCTTCAACGTATCCGGCAGTTTAACTCCAAAGAGATGGAGTTTGGAAGGCCGGATGCTGGCCCTGCAACACTCCTACCAACCAGATCTTCCCTCAATACAAGGCAGTCCCTTGTGGGAGGATCATGTAGTCAGTATCCTCGCACTTCCGAGGGTGTACGCAAGGTACACCCGTCTCATGGTGTTTCAACACGATAAGGTTGCGATAGTCATGGGGGTGTTAGTAGGCTAGTAGTAGATAGCAATAGAGCTAGTATTACTGGGTAGCCTTTTGGGAGAATTGTGAAATTCTCTTACTATAATATTGCCTTGTATGGGAACCCATTCGTATATCATTTCGGGGCCTTCAAAGACCGCTACTAATACTCTATGGTCATGTTTGGTGAAGGCTGTCTTGTGTACTTGCCAAATCAGGTTCCTCAAATGTCCTCATGTACTGCATCAATCCTCACCTTGCCCAGACGAAACGGTTTTCCTTGAAAGAGATCTACATCAAATCACCGAAATTGTCGGCAACCAATTCTTGCCGCCACCAGCCTCCATACTAAATGCCGGTGATGACTATCCTGACTAGATTGCTACTGCTTCTTCTGATGCTATCACCACAATTGTTTAGCCACAGCAGTCGCAATGGCTAGTGCCTGTACCGTCAAAGGACTAGGTAAACGATGTCGGTTTCCTATTGTTCCCCGCCATCTGCCCATTTGTTCTCCTCCTCCTCCTCCTCTCTCCAGAACTCCTGCTTGTACAATTGACATTGAGATAACTGCCAAGGCTATCACCATTGCTCGCATCCGCAGCTACCAGCCGCAGCCTTCCGCGAGACGTCAATCGACGCCTGTCACCCGGAGAGCGGATCGAAGGGCGTGCTTCCAACAAGATCAGGCTTCAGCACTGGAACTTCATAGTTTGAAGTGAAACCCATGCTGTTCATACCATTACCG